TGTTTGGTATTTTGAGCAAAACAATTCATAGACATGTTTTTTATATATCCGAGACCTATGCTATTGCCTAAAAATAGCATGATAGGTGACCTTTAAGACTATATAAATATATAAAATAATGTATTATATTATATTATTGCCTCCGCATTGGATTATTATCGGATAGGGTAATAACTTCATAATTAACTACGTCTGAAGGCAAAAGTCTATGGCAAATAATTGCAAGTCTCTTCAGTGTGCATGTCACAAAATGAGATGCATTGTGGGACATGTAGTTTATTGGCAACGCGCTTCTGTAAAGCGGCATGTAACCATATAATAAACGTATTATATTCTTTGCAAGCTCTTGCGGGCCACATAAAATGAAGTCGCAGGCCGGATTTGGCCCCCGGGCCTTGAGTTTGACTCCCCTGGACTAGAGATTGCCCCTCTATAGCCAAAGAATTTTAGTAAACGTGCAAATAAAGTTCCCTGTAACACCATCATATCTGGTTTTGTTTGACATTCATCTGTGTTTGATACTGTGTTGATAGAAAATATGCATTAAAACCTGAGGCAACCAATAATGTCAATAGGACTTTTTATTATCAGACAAACAGTGGCTGTCTGTCAAGTGTACCGTCCAATGAGCCACTGAAGATTGTAGACTTGACATTCAATGAAATTACACACCCATAGACTGTTTATATAAAGGACACACCCCCTTTACGCTTGTCACTTTGCTGCCTTCAAGTATTTTGGAAATATGGGAAGTGTAAGATTAAGTTACATGCAAACTCACAAAGTGGGAAATGATCATTACAAACATGATATTTTGTCTGCTCACAGCTGATGGTTATTACTAGTAGCATTAAGCTTTATTCAAAGACTATCCCAAAACCAAATCAGAACATTTTTACCCTATATTTATCTAGGGATTCAAAAACACAGTAGGGTACTTGTGAACGTGCCACTCAAATTACCCAGCTGGTAATCTCTCCCACCTCCATGTGGTATGAATTACAGTTCACACTAAATCACACAGGTTGCAACTTTTTTCTTTCTAAGTAGCTGTAAAATAGTCTAAACAGTCCTAATCTAAGAACTCTGTCTTTATAATTTCTTCAAATGTCTACATTTGAGGGAATTATTATGATTCTCAATGAAGAACATCTGGTGTCAGTTCTAGACTAATTGGGGGCCGTGAGGGGGCCAATAATTTAATGAGGGGCATAAAGAAGGAGATTTAAAGGTGGGGTAGGTAAATTTGAGAAACCGGCTCGAGATACACATTTTGTTATATTCCATGGAATGCTCTTAACATGCCGATAGCAATGAATATCTTAAGTGCTTTGACAAAAAAAACATACAAAAAATGCATCTGTGTAAGCCCTAGTACTTTAAAAAGCATGACCAATCATTTTAGCCGGCCCAGCTAAAATAACTGGATGGCCTACCTGCCTGTCAGCTTTCCATCTGTGCACAAACTTATCTCGTGCCCTCATTGGTCATTTGCGCGTTCGTGTGGGTTGGAGGAGGGGAGTGTAAGGAAGTAGGAGATTTGTTCCGGCTGTGTATTTTCAAATTCTAGTGCACTCGAGCTGGTTTCTACAAAATTACCTACCCCACCTTTAATGTTGTGTTACTTTGGCCAAAGGTAAAGAACATTAAAAGAAGTTTGGGGTAATACATACATTATTTATGCAGTAACTTACTTATTGAATTACATTACTTAAACGTCCCAGACCGCCCATGCTGGTAACATTACATTTTTAATTTGCAGCATTGCAACCTGATTGCAACCGGTTCTTTTTACGCCATTCACATACTACAGTAAGATGGTACAACTTTTCGCAGAGTCCCTGAGTGCAGCGTTGCATGCTATGGTTACGTCAGTGCGTCAGTGCTCTCTCTGGCCCCGCCCCTTTCTCAGAAATGCATGTTATATTGTTGGCTCCAGGGCCTGGATTTTTCTCGTCTCTGTTTATATTTTTGAAAAACGGTAACGTGAGACGTCAGCGTACAGCAGCACAAACACAGACACACATCGAACTCCGTTTTTAACCGCTGGACCTTGAAGGTACGTTCTCCTCTTCTCACCGGCTTTGTTGCTCCCTTGTACCCCTATTGCTTGTTATTACAGTCATTACTAGCATCCATCTTGGTAAAAGCTCATTAAATCCCCCTACTAATCCTGCTGAATTTCCGCTGCATTATCGAATTTAATTAGTATGTGTGCCCCATGTGCAAAAGTGTGAAAGTCCAATATATATATATGACTTCATTCCAAAAGTAATTTATTTAATGCATTGTGTCAGGTGTTGAGACCAGATTAATCACTGCAGCGTGGTGTGTTCAGGTGCTGCAGCTTGCACATGTAGTCCATCATCATCTCCATGGAGACGTTAAGTACAAACAGTCATGTCCACTTCCTGCAACAAAAACAAGCTCTTCATTAATCTGTTCTACCATTGAATATATTGTATAGGTATCAAGCACCTGAATGCACCAACTTTTATATTTGTGGATATGTGCATCCAGTAATTATATAAGGCAACAATTTATAATACGGTTCAAACAATAATAATATGATTTATAACATTATCAGGAATTCCTCTTGCTCACTATTAAGAATTCACTAGGCAATAATATGATAATTGGCACTTGAGATTCGAATAATTATGAAAAAGCCTTCCAATTGTTTTTATTTTTTTAAATAAAACGTATTTCTGTATTACATGGCCTTCGACTGCCAAGGCACAC